CCTTCCTCAGAACTCCACCCGCCTCCCTGGCCTCCCCCGGAGCCCCCTCCGCCTCCCCTGCCTCCCCCAGAACTCCATTCGCCTCCCCTGCCTCCGCCGGAGCCCCCTCCGCCTCCTTTACCTCCACCAGAGTTCCATCCCCCACTACCACCACATCCCTGCGAACCACATCTACTGTTTACAGCTGCAATGAGTGGCAGATTCGGCTCTATTTTGCGTTTCATGATTTTGGCTGCCATACTTATTGCCACCAATGAGCCACAAATCACAATAATCATAAGAGGTCTTGCCTATATGTATAAGAAATAAGTCATTATACGGTGCATTATGACAATTTTGGATTGTTTTGGGGTAAGCAATTATAAAAAAAAATAGATATGTATAAAAAAATATTTATCAAATGTAACAATGGTTAAATGTTTCTCACTCTAAATCTACTTTTTACATGTTAAAAAATTAAGTTTATCCCGTAATTTTACGATCAATTGAGCTTGAGATAGAAGAAATAAGCCGGACATATACCATTAATAAAAATATGATTAATATTATAAATATTGGTCCTGTAGAGAGCTGAATTTTATCTGAAGTTTTACATCAAAATGTGATAAGTATTTCGAAACTTACTCTCATTTTTGTGAGTTACAAATACTCCAGTAAATTGACATATTAATACAATACTTCGGCTTAAATACATTGCAACTACTAATTTATCATATGCTGACAGCATGCCGAATAAAATAATCAGCTGATTTCAGTGTCAAAGGGTTAATCTTAATCCAGCCATTTGTATTGAATTATGATTTATCGAATGTGACCTTAGAGGATATTTATGCTACGAGTAGTAAAAGTTCGATTGTAAGATTAGTTTAATCCATTGAATTTAAGTATTACATAATTTAGGGTTCCAGGTTGGTTGTGATGTCCTTTTGCTTAGAAATGAGCAGAAAGTTATAAAAATTCCAAATTAAAAAAAAACTGGGGTCATTTTGAAGCTTTAAATTTAGTGAACTAAATAATTTTAAAAAGCGTATGGAAGTATGGTTAGGGATACTTCGGCTATATTATCTCGTAAAGATGCTAAAGCCATGGCGTAACGGCTAACTCCGTAGTCTTTTTTCAAACTTTGAGTAACTCACCAATGAGTATGAACTAAGCACCAATTAATGTACAATGAACACCTAAATAGTGAAGTCATTGCTATCCCTGAGTGGTGAAGGTGCTTTAGATTAAATCTGTTTACTAAGAATTGAAGTAAAACTTATGATTTTTTTGTAATATCTTGCTCTGCGTTTTTTAAGATTAATAACCACATAAGTTCATTCAATCAAAGCCGTCAATAATAAAGCCTGTTAAATAATTCCTTTGCGTTTATATCCAATTTTTTTCTTGGTTATATCACTTTTTTATTTCGCATCCCTAAAATGTAAACCTAAAGTAAGTTTAAACACAAATGTCTTTAAAGCAGTACATATGCCTATTAGTACTGAAGTCAAACAGGATGTCTTGACTACCAACATATGTTTAATGAGCATCTTAGTGACTATAGGTTTCTTAAGGAATGAAGAATTAATAGAAAATTTTTCTACAATG